TTTGTAGGTTCTCTGTATTTTGTTGTACAGGAAAGCCAGCCTAGGTGGGAAATGGTCATAAGCCCCACAATGTTCCAGTTTTTTTAGTATGTCAGTTTATTATATCACAGATTGATATTTTTGAMACATGGATTGATACCAACCTCAGTTTGGGCTCACTAGTGCAATGTAGTCACACACTCAAAAGCAAAACATGCTGGTTTAATTTTTTTCTGGTGTATTAATGCCAGACTTTATTTACTGTGGTTTTGAAATAAAAATATGAAGGTCTCAGCAGCATCTGATATTTCCTTGAGTTTTATGGTATCTTGAGTATCCAGCAAAGGGAAACTGTCATGATCCAGTTTTCCTTCTCTGTTATGTAATTATCACCAATAAAAAAGTGTTTTACTGTTACSTCTTGACTATTTTATACAGTAGATCAGGCCGAGTTAAGAGGTGTAATTTATTTCAAGTCCTTTAACTGCACTGTGTTTTCATTGCTGACTATTTGCCAAAAAATATCCCATGGAAATTCTTTTATCTGATGACTGTAAAGAACAGCAAGTTAGCAGTTACTTATTTCCCTTTCTCCTAAAACAGTCGTGTTGATGGTATAACCCTGGCCTGGTGGGAAGTCATCAGGCTGCAGTTCATGWTGTGTCATAGGAAACTCTAGCAGAGTATTGCAAGGTAGTTGAATTGTAACAAAAATCTGTTTCAAGGGAAAGCTCACTGTGTAGATTAGCTGTTATTAGACTGAAAAAAAAACATGAATAGCATTGAACCAATCTGAGGCTGCAACAACCCTGTGTAGAAAGAGGAGTAAGCACAAAATACTGATTTTTGGTTTGATTGTGACTGTTTTGTGGTCCTTAGCATCTGTTTTGGGAGGGAAGCAAGGGAGCAAATTGGAGTAAATTGGCTTTTACTCCTGACAAGCGCATGCAAAGTCATGAGAGATCTGCTTTTTTTACTGCATAGACAGCACATAAATCACACAACTGAGGCAGAGAAGCCAATTTGTTAAGATAACTATTGCTAATTCATCCTTCAGGAGTGGGATGGCTTAAAATTCAAACTGCAGAACACAGAGAAACAGAATAAAGAGCTTTTCACCTCTTGCATTACCAGACTCGTTGAATCAGAGCAGTGCCCAAAAGTCATTACCATCTGATGGCTKAGGGCCAGTGTGAAATGAGTTACTGGGCTTTATCCAGATTCTAGTGGAGAAATTTTTGTCCAAATCACATAACTATGGCTACAGTTGGCAGGGGCTGAAGGACTTATTGGCAGCCATGGCAGAGAGCACGGAATGTGCATGGCGAGACTGGCTCTCTAGATCATTTTTTTTTCTGTACCTACATGAGTAAAGCTTAAATTGGTGATTTTCATTTTGTGTGTGAGGTACCGCTGTCTACAGACTTGCCAAACCAACAAACAGCAACATTGTTTAAAACTTGAGTTAGAATTCATCATCATAGTTACATCATTGTGATTGTGGAGTGGGGATCTGTGGTCATTCTCAGGCATTAACAAAAATGGTAGCAGAACTGGCTGAAATGCCATGAAAGGGTTTGCTGCATGACAGAGTATTTTGCTGCAAATCTTAGTGCTCATAGATGGAAGAATATATCAAAGAAGGATTATTTGTTGACAGTRGAGGTTAGTAGAGGTTTAAACTAGACATTAACATGATCCTGGATGCCCATGAGAATGACTTTCATTTTACAACACTTTATTTTCCTTGTTTTCCTTCTCCTGGATTCAGGATYTTTGTAGATGTACCTTTCCATCAAAGAGCTCAAAGCGTGGAGGGAGAGACACGCCAACACATTTGGAGAAAATAAGCAGYAGCATGCTGCACACAGACCCCATTCTCAGGCAGAGATTCTTGACAGAGTTCTTCACATCACAGCTTTCAGTGGTCCCAGCCCTAGAGAGGAAAATATTTCTCAGGAGTAGCACTCCAGGGAGACATCAAAGCCCTGGCAGCTGGCTGCCAATCCTTGTGGTGGATGGTGCTTTGTACATGCCTGGTGAATTTTAGTGGAAAAAGAGAGTTAAGCTGAGAAAATCAGCTAAATTTGAGGAAGGTGCAACAGTCTGATGGTGACATTCACTCTCAAATGCTTTGATGGATTCCCTGATGCAGTCAGTAAGTTGCTCAGCTGACTAAAATCACCTTATTTTTGATATGACTGTTTCTCTGCAGTTCTCCCAAGCTGTGCTCAGTGTGTCAGGGATGGGAAGCTGACCATAAGCATATTGCAGCAGAATAGGCTATGGCAGAGAAGCAACCAAACTTAAATAGCCTGAAATCACTTGTTTGAGGGCCCTAGGAGAGCTTTCAAAACCCAAMGGGCTTCTAATCCTTAGGCTGAACCAGGGCTGCTGACCAACGTGTGCTTATAACAGAACAGCAGCAAATGCAACACTAACAAGSTGTTCACCCTCCCAAACTGTGTTTTTCACACCTGAAATCGAGGAGCTTCTTGCCAAGCTGGAAAGCTCTTGGTGAATTCCTTCCTGCATGTTTCATTTTGGGAAAGGGACTGCTGGAAAATCTGCGCTGAAGTCAAGCAGACATGGAAGTCAAAAGATCTTCTTGTTGAAACTTAGCTCTGAATGGGAGGAGAAGAGTCTTTACATGCTCCAGGGTTATCTGCTAGGTGATATTGCTGAATTTCAGAGGCAAAAGGTCTGCCTGTTATTTTAGCTAGCAGTCAGGAAGTGAAGGTATGAAAGGAGCAAGGGACTAGAGTGAGAAGAGTTTAGAAGACAGAAAAGAGCTTGATTGAAAGTATCTTAGTCCTACCTCTTAATTTTTTTTTCCATTTTTTGGAACTGCAATGATTTTGCACTAGTTTTGACCCTGGCATTAGATGAAAGTGAAATCCTAGGTTACATTCCTAATTCCAGTTCTTGGAAAGCGTAGATTTGAATGCCAGCTTATCTGTCCTGAATTTTCTGGAAACCAAACTACATCTCTGAGTAGCCACCTGTAATGCTTTGATGGCACTTCACATTTTCATTCTAATTTATCAACTTCCACCTGTCTTATTTTATCTGAGAGTGCAGCCAGGTCTAGGGGTGAAAGCTGTTGTTTTTTATGGCAGGTTTTGCTGAAGCTGCTCACGATCACATCCCTGATGAGTGATGGGCACAGATTGCATTGGGGTATGATCCKTATATGCCTTTTGGAAAAAGGAATGGTCTACAATTGTGTACACTGCAAGGATGGTATTTAGCTGTCTGAAGTTAACACATTTAGGCACCATCAAATGTGTAGTTAAATGTTTCTGTGGGTTTTTTTTTGTGCTAGGTGTAAAGTGCTTTTATCTTTGCACTCCTTGTTGSGGAAAGATCCCTGCTGAAACTGTAGAGGGCTTCTAGAAAGAGCTGTGGAAATGATGTACAGAGCAAACTGTTATACTCAATTGGCTCACAAGCTGGAAGTTCACTTGGTTGCTTCATGAGCTTGAAGTCTGAAAATTCTTGACAGGAGTAGTAAGAGTTGAACATTCCCCATTCAGTGGTAACAAAGTAATAAAGACAAAAACTGCTGATTGAAAGAGACTTYATATAATCTTTAATCCCATGGCCCAGGCAGCAAACATCTGTTGTTATTAATTTATTGTACACAGGCTGCATAATCATATTAGGAGAAACAAACAGCAGTSCATTTTTTCCCTTAATTTAGGCATCTACTGCATCTTAAGGTACAGCTGCAACTACGTGAGTGAACTCATGCCTTTAGTTCCAGTTTTGCCAAATGTTAGTAAAAACACARTGGGACTGACATCCAGTTTTGTTGTGAATCCTGTTTATGTCTTCATGCTGGGCACAAGGGTTACAAGCCCATAGTTTGTGTGTGTTTTGTAACTAAATTTCCTGGTTTTACTTTAAAAAGAGGGGTGCTAATCCAAAATCCAGTCTGTTTCAGTGGGATACAGAGGTCCTGAGCAAAGGTCAAAATACAAAAGCTGTATAAGTTTTGTGTTTCATAGGGGTATTAGTCTGCTTTAGTGAACATTTCTTATTGATGTGTATCACCTTAATGTTAATATATTTCATACTCCAGCAAGGAGTATGAAAGCTCCACAATATATCAGTCCTAATGGTRGAGATTTGGGGGAGATTTTAGAGTCAAGGGCAATCCAAATAATTATAATACCCATTGTTTCTAAAGACTTAACAGTAAGTCGAGAACTTCAAGCCTGCTCTTCAGCTACTCTGTTGGAGACAGCTGCTTGTAAATCACCCTTTGGTAACATTTCTTACAGGGAACCAAAAGGAAAGTGAGGAACTGCCTGTTGAAGCTTTTCATGCTAATCTCATTTTTGTCTTTGAGGCTTAAAACCTTCACCAGGACTGAAAGCTGATATTYATGAGTAGAGCAGGGGGGAGGAGGTTGCTTAAACAGCTCCTAGCCTATCACCAACATCTCCAGCTGTGCTCCACCAGCTCTGTGGAGATTCTGTACTCTGATATTTTTAGAAATAGTCACCTCCATATATTTCAGCATTGTATATTCTAAACCACATTCTTGTCTTTTACTTTGTTTATAGACTTTTCTTCTACAGAAATGAGCTCTTTCCCTTGTTTTCCAGGCAGTGCTTTTGCAATTCAGTGACAGAACACGCTGTTGAACTTGAGAGAACATCTCTTTCTGTAAAATCTTTGTTAAATTGTAGGCCCATGTTCTGTTGTGCCTGAAGTACCATAAATCCCACTGATTTTTATGGGGTTCAGTGGGTGTAGATCTGTAACAAATACTGTAGAGATAAAGCAAGCTCCAAGGTGTAACCACGGATTTGACCTGTGCAATTGATCGGATGCCACAGAGGTCCAATAAGCCTCAAACATGGTGACCATTTCAAGCTACAGAAAAACCCTCTGTAGTGAGCACTCAGCTCAAATAACTTTATTAAGTTTTGGTGGGTAGAAACAGTTTAAGGCCTTCATTTCAAGTCYTGTGGTGCAAYCTAAAATCCTTTCTTTTTMTTCCCYTCTTACAGCAAATTATCTRGACAACATGCCCTTGCGAAGTTCTGGCAAGCTGAGCATGGAGGCCAGAAAAGATGGTGAGAGCACAGCCCCTGCTCCTCCCCAGAAGAAGCTGTCCTGCCAGTGCCACCACCACTGCCCTGAGGACTCGGTCAACAGCACCTGCAGGTTTGTGGGACAGATACCTGGTGATGAAACATGGGACAGCATATTTGTGGTAGCTCAGCAATCCCAGGTCAGGTGTCGCAGCTGATGAGTTGTTTTTCACTGGGTCTAAAAATCAGAAGTAATTTTTACCTAGATATCAGCTGCATGTTTGTTTGTTTAAGTTTTTTTTTTTTGGTTAGGCTATATACATATTTATCATTTACATATTCATTTTAGATAGTACTTGTTTTAAGGCATTGCGTGTGAAATCTTCTGAAGGTTGAACTTTGTTTTTAAAGGCACATGCAGTTAATGAGGGGAGACTTAATGRAGATATATTGAAATGTCAATAAATGTTTATAAATTTATAATCACTCTCAATAGWAGACTGTTTGTAAGAGCCCTGGTCTTTGTTTGTGTCTGCAACAGCTGCATCTATGGGTCCTTGAGGCTTTGAGGGTTTTTTTTTTGTTTCCTGAAAGGAAAAGGAAAGGAAAAAGGAAAACTCTCCTGAGGTGAAGTGTTGAGTATTTTCTTCTTCTAGCTACAGCCTTCTGTTTGATTTTGTGCCTAGAGTACTACAGCTTTCTGATTTGGCTTGGGTTCTGCTTCAGGACTTTTTGGCTCCCTGRGGGAGAGGCAGGTCCAGATGTGCACGAGCCCCTTGGCTGTTCAGTGTTGGTTTGTGTTGCACTGGCATTGGCTGAAGCCAGCAGAGGTGACTGAGGGTGCCAGTGGGGGGACCAAGCTGCTGTTCCCCTGCCCAAAAGCAGCTCCTGCTGGGCACACACGGTTGCTGTTGAATGAAGGTTGAAGGAAGGTTGAATGAAGGTTGGAGGAGCCTCTGTCCTGAGATGCAGGCACGGGCTGCTTCAGCTGCTGTAAGGTTGGACTGAGCTCTTCATGTTTCACATGAGGAATTGAAACTTTTCTGCCTAGTTAAAGCAGGTGTGGCACTGGAGATACCCACCCACTGTCAGCCATAGCCCGGTGGAGCTGTGGGAGCCAGGGAAGTGTGGAGCAGGGCACAGATGTGAGTGCAGCTGGGGATGAAGAGCTCTTTGAGGTGAGATAGTCTAAYATTGTGTCAGCTCTTCAAGACAGCRTATTAAAARGATAAATGGGGAAAGCCTAAGGTTGCTGAAGAGACTGATTGCTTTGTTGGATTTTTGAGYGTGGATTTGTAGCCTGACTTTATTCTTYTCKGCCTGCAGTTYCCTCCTGAARTRCATMAAAGTTTTGGTGASARCTGTGAATACCATTTCCCCTTTCTAACCTCTTCCTACAAACCCATGCTTCAGCCAGGAGTTAGACCTAGCTGCTCTCACATGGCAGTCAGTTAAAAAAGCTATAAAAGCCCACTCTGATATCAATTTGCAGATCCCCTGCAGCATGAATCAGCTGTTTCCAGCTCCTGCCCAGCAAGAGCCACAGCTTTCGTRCGTGCTGTCTCACACACACAGTAGCAGGGAAGTCACAGATGACTTTTAAATCCATGAGTTAGGAAGCACAAAGGGATCAATGTTAGGGAACTGATTGAACAAGGTTTACACCCCAGCTGKGGAGCCCTGCTGTTGCATATTGCTTTGTAGGCATCATGAACATTAAGTATTTTCCATGGAACTAAGAGTAAGTGTCCTGTTAGAATGGACCTGTGCATTTTCCTTCACTGCAGTACTTTAAAAAACTCTGTTCAGCATCCCCCTTATGGTGTCAAATGTCAAACTTTTTTTTAGGTGTTAATGCCCAAGAACAGGCAGTTAAGTGGTAATAAAACACAAAATGGTAACCCCTTTTATCTTCATAATGCTTGAAGACTTTATGCTTGAATATCTTGCTTTGGTGACAAAATTATTTTTTTCAAATTTAGGAATCAAAATAATAATTGAAGCTGGAMTTTATTAATCAAATAATAATCACTTTTCTGTCCAGCCAACAGTCTCCTGGAGCAGTCAGGAGACTTGATTTAGATCAACTCCTCTTTCCTGCCCTGTGCTGTTACCTGATCAGTGCCCACCTTGCCACTTGACCAGTGAGCAATGACATAAGTGAAAAATCACTGAAGAGTTTGGAGTGATGTAAAACAAGTAAAATTAATTTAAGTGCACTACCTTAATGGCTTGCCAGCAGAAATCCTGTTCATGGCCGTGGTCATTTGCTGTGGCTCCCACTGCCTTGGTGTGATGCTGCAGGGAGGTGTGAAGGACCCAACACCCCTTGTTTTCCCTACATCGGCTTAACTGTTGGTGTAATAATTCCTTTCTTAAATTCCTTTCTACATACCTGGAATTATGGATTGCAGAGGGGAGAGAGTCCCAAGTCGCCTGTTGGGAAAGCATGATTTTTAGGCATCTGGTTAGCTGGCTGGAGTGAGACCAAGTTTCAAAATATTTGAGCRCAACCAACCAGGTTAGCAGGGATTATTCATTTCCCCGGGGTTTTGGGATCTTCCTACTAGCCAGGCAGTAACTTTCATATTTTATCCTAATGTGAATGACTGTTGGCACAATTTTAAAGCACTGGGCATCATTGAGGCTCACTATAAAGGAAGTTTYTCCATTTTGAAGTTCAAGCAGTATTGATTGCAGTGTTTGTCTGAAGAATAAATTGACAGCTTCAGKTTAAACATTACTGCATTAATTATCTGCTTGCCTCAGATGTAGCCACTAAAAGGCTTTTGGATTTTATATTAAAAAATCAAACCTCTTGTCAGCTGTATCTATCTTTCAGGCTTTGGGATGTGCTTGGACCTTCAGAGTTTGGACCTTCAGAGTTTGGACCTTCCAGCCCAACAGGAATAAACCAGTGTGTTCTGGGGCACCCAAGGGTCTGGCAAAGCTCTGACACCCAGGAAATTCACTGAGTGCATCCACAGCCAGGGCTTGGGCTCACCCACTGTCCCTGCCATGGTTCTCACTAAAGCAGTGAAGCATTTTATGAGCCCAGGAACAATAACCTCTGAAAGTTCATTGGAGAAGCATTTCCAGCTGTGTTYAAATTAAAACTCTCAGAATAGAATRGCCTAGTCCTATTGAAATCACCATTAAAATTCTCTCATAAAAAGCAGTCTGTCATCTCCCAGGAAGATTTTTATCTGCTTCTGCAGATAAAAAGTATAGATCTGCAGATTTAAAGTATAGATCCTGCCCATAGTACCAGTAGTCTGAATGTTTATATAAAAAGGAGGACATCTGGTGGCCATTTAAAATCCTCTCCRTAATTGTATTTGTAGAAATTTAAAAGCCAATACTCTTTAACCACATCTGTATCAAATSCTCTAACAGCCTGCTGTGTTCCTATACAGAATTTTCCTTTTTTTATCCTTCTGCAGCTTAAGTCCAACAATCCTTKTGAGAGCTAAGGATAACACTGCAGCTTGAAAGGGAGATTGCTTTTTATCCAAGCAGAAAAGCAGTAGCCCGAGTTAGAGTGTGCTTTAAAAAATGTGGCAGTCCATGAGCACAGTGAAGTTTGGAAGACAGGGTGAGCCATCAAGGGAGGGTTAATGCCAGGGTGTGGCAAAAGGGGGGCCAAGCCAGGAGCTGAGGCTGCTGCCAGGGCTGGCCATATTCTCCCYCACCATGACTCCTTTTCCCCACTGAAATCAATGGGCAGAGACAGCTCCTTCTGTAGCCCTTCCCATGCTCCTGTACCACTGCTCAGGGCTTCTTTGCAGGGGAAGAGAAGGGTCACAAGGGGGGCCACTGAAAAATATTAGTGCACTCAAGGCCCTGACTGACAGTGAAAATCTTTGGAGAAAGTCACAATTCTCAGCTTGTAAAGGGTGTGCTAAACTGCAGAGCTGAAACTTTATTCTTGTTTCTGAACATCTGGGTGATTCATAAAAGGCTTTCAGTAAAGAAGGTCAAAGCTGCTTTGAACACAACCAGGACCTTGTTTTACTGTTCCATTTCAAGTTTTGTGTGTACAAAGTGAATGCACGGACAGTTGTGTCTAATCATAATTAATTGCATATTTTAAAAGGCAGTGTTACGTCTAATTGCCTTTGACTGCAATGGGATTGCAGTAAAGGCAGAGGCTAATTAGGTGCCTTGTCGCACTCCATTTTCATGCACAAATAAATGCTGMCAGTTTTAAAGATTGGGCTGATAAAGTTTTAAGTTCCTGTGTTTTGCCTACTGGATTGTATTTCTGCCCAACTGCATCTTTGGTTATCTATTAAGTTGCTTTTTCAGTGTTACCAGAGGTGATAATTCACTTGATGATGTTATTCTCCTGTTCTCCAAATGATATGATTGAATGTTCTTTTGTAATTTGGTATGTAGAAGGAAGAAGACTGTGACAGTGGCCAAAGCGCTGAGTTCGGGCAACTTTTGTTTTAAGCAATTTTAATTTTTAGGGAAAAGCTTAATGTTTTCTGATAAAGGAGTGATSGTGAGATCTTAGATGTTAGTCTTTTCATATTTTAATGTTTATGCTCGTTTATAAATTTAGTCCTTTATACAGGAATTTTTAAAATAATTTTTTAAAGGGTGCAGAGACTTGTCATGTTGCTTTGGATGGAAGTGAAAGRATGCTTCCTAGCATCAAAATCAGGAATATAAAGAGGAGGAGTRGAAGAAAGCAATAATACTTGTATGGACTCACTTGCAAATAAAATTAAAGATAAGGGGTCTTTTCATCAAATTATTTAACCTCTTTGTGATGGGCTTTGAATGAGGGAAAGATGTTGCTTTTCAAAGTTACATAATGCCATCCTTGGCTGTGTCCCAGCAGGCAATCTTCAGCAGGCAAGTTTTGATAGCTGAGGGGTCACATCTTCTGTGAGAAATGGCTGCTGGCCAGCGAGGACATCTGTGTGAGCAGATGCAGAGCTGTTGGCCTTGGTTCCTCTCTTCTGACATTTAGGAAAGGTCTGAGTTAAGATCCCTGCTCTCTTTGTGGWCATCTGTAATTGTAGAAGCACCTTCTGTATTGGTGTCTGTCGGCATTTCCGCTGTTAACTTCCTTTATCTTCCTGGCATTTGAATTGGCTTTGTACAAATTCACTCTTGGCAAATGCATAACGTAGCAAATCTGTGCTTATTAGTGATCACATCCAAAGTGAAGTTAATCCCCCTCCTGCACCATGCTCTGATAAGGTGGTGCTTTGATGGAGGAGGTTACTGGGTGTGTACCCAGATGTATTCAGTAACTTCACATTGAATTCCTTCTTTACGTGCCATTTGCAGAATCAAATTACACAAAATTAGAATTTGAATGGCAGATTTTAGGAGAATACCAGTTCTATACTGCAGTTATTTTTTTCTAGGAAATGGAGAATAGATTTTTCATACTGCTTTGCATGTATCATTGATGTACAGATGTTTCTGTTCATGCAGCCACCAAAATAARCATAAAATTTGAGACGTGGCACACRTCTCTGACAGCTTCTCACTTGCTGTGTTGGTAAGAACAGTTTCATTTCTRCCATGGGCAGGTAGGAGGTAGGGTAATCAATAAAACAGCAGGGGTGTGCCCTGCCCTTGGCTTGCAGTGTGTGGTCCTTCTGACGTCCTGAGAACCAGGAGAGTCATTTCTCCCTCTCACCCAAACACCTCAGAAATTTTCAAAAAGATAATGAGTTCTTAAATTGCATGAAAACTTTTTGTTGTTGGTTGGTGGGTTTTTTTATTTTTTTTTTTCTTAGAGGTAGAAACAAGCAGTACCAGTGTTTATTCTTCGCAGCAAAGCTATTTTTTTTCTCTCACTTTTCCTTCATTATTCAAATGGCTGTAAAGAGCTTGATTTATTCTTCTTGTTGGAGCTTTGCAACTTCTTTGTTTTGCTCCACTCAATCTCAATTTTTCTTTTTAAATTTGAAGTAAATTTTTTAGAAGGACTAAAGTGCATGAGGAGCCTAAATTTAATTTTCAGAAATGAGCTAAAAATCAGAGTCCCTCATGACAAGTCAGAATAATAGAATTAAATCTGCTGATTTTTCTGTTTTGTATTTTTCGCTTTTGCAAACAATTTGACTTTTCCTTCCTCTGCTTTTCAYTGATGAATTGAGAGTTTTGGGGTTTTTTTTTTGCTGGGGACTATTAGCTGTGGAGCCCATTTTTTGTGCTTCGTTTGATTGCAATTTATTGTTTTGTTGCTCTGTCCCCTGGCTTAAACTTACTCATTACTTTGATTCAAAGGCACCATGCAAACAAATAAARTCTAATCTATAATAATATAATATTCTGCTCTAATGGATTCCTTAGAGTCTCTCTTGCCAATCCCATTGTTCCTATCTTTCTAGTTTAAGCAATGAAATCAAGGTGGGTTACTGTCTCTGCCTCACTCACATGCCCGATGTCAAAGAGGAGTAGAAGCATCCCCAGCTTCTCTGAGAAAGTAATTTGTACCATGCAGCTGGTTACTTTTCAGGTCCAGGAGTCCATAACCCATGATGGATTATTATTTGAAGTAATGAGCTTACCGTGGCTAGACCCTGCACCACTAATATAAAAATACACCACGGACAATGTTTGACATGATCCTATGCAGCATCTCTGTGCCATGGAGCTAATAATTACAAATTGTGTTTTTCTCTGAGATGTGTAACTGTGCCTCTCCTTTCTTACATCTTCATTGCTTTTGCTGCTGGTGCTCTTTAGACTCTTGTTGCATTCAAGTAAGGAGAAAATCATCTGAAATTTTGCTGTTTAAGTTTTCTAATCTTTTTTTCTTTTTATTTCCTTGTTTTAACTAAGTTTGTTTCTTCTCTTCGGAAAAGTACTCATTGCACGTAATAGCCAGTGTTATTTTCCTGGGGAAATAACAGAGTATTTTATTTTTCTGTGACTTAAATGTCATACATTAACGAGTTTTTTTCTTKATTTTTGGATCTTCTTCCTGAAGCTCAGTCAATTTTTGTTTCTTACACATCACGTGTCCCCCTCAGAGCACTGAGAATTAATGCACAGCAGTCTCCATAAAATGCAGCCCTCTTTCCATGCCCTCCACCCCCTCTTTCCATAGCATTCAGGCATTTGGCCTTCATCAGGGAAGGACATTTATCACCAGCACCATCTAGCCATCTGTTAGGATACTTGCCCTYCCTGGTGCACGTTCCTGTAAACGGGAGCATTATGGATCACTTCAGGCTCGTAACACAAGTAAACATCCATGAAGGGTGTTGATGATAACTCAAGGACTCATACACTGGGGGGTGTTGCACTTTGAAATATGGTTAAAACAGGAATCACAAATCACTCTGGATAATATTTTCCATTCAGTGTCTCAAAAGGGTTTCTTTCTTCAGGTCTCTGCTGTGATGCAAATATCCGTGCCCTGTTCCTGCACTCTGGGCAGACCTTGTGTAGCACTGAAGCTTTTATCTGTACAGGTCTCCAAAGTCTTAACACACTAATGCCCACAGGCACAGCTGGGATGTTTGTYAGTGGGTTTTAGGCTGTGGAATAGTGCAGAGGTGAGTGCACAGCTCTGAGGCAGATCCTCCTCTTCGTGGGCAGGAGCTGCGTGTCGATTTATGAATGGCAGGTTTGCCTGGCAGGGAGCAAGGTTTAAGACAGTGTTCAACTGCAAATTGTCCAGTTCAGTGCCTTTTCCTGACTCATTCTTTCCAATCCACAGCACTGATGGCTACTGCTTCACCATAATAGAAGAAGATGAGTCCGGAGGACATTTAGTCACCAAGGGATGTCTCGGRTTAGAGGGCTCAGACTTCCAGTGTCGGGTGAGAAAGCATTTTCTGCCGGGGTATCACTTGAATTTTTGATAGTTTTCAGTTAAAGCACAGTCAACAGACACTCCTGTGTCCATGTTTTCCACTTCTGTTCATTTGGCAGATAGTTGATTCTCATTGATTGCTGAGGYGATTGCGTTTGTATCCCCAAAAGATGATACTATAGCTGCTCCTAAGAATAACTTACATTTTTGGTTTTGGCACTGCTGTTACCACTAACACTCCTTTTAGRGGAAGTTTGGATTTAGAGAACTGCAGTCCTAACTCCTCAAATCTCCAAGCTATCTAAAGTTAGGTAGGAATTTAGTKAGGAAATTATTTGATGGCCTGCAGCAATTTCTATGTCTTACATGCCAGTTCCACTTTGTGGTTTTTGGTGCCAGGTGTTCCCTTCAAGTACAGTGACCACCTGATGGAAAACAAATATTACCAGAGGAATGGAAGGGATATGGACAGTGGGGCAAGGTGGTTCTAAGGTTGCCCTTCCTCAAGTTAACCTTAAATGCTTTTAGATCAGTGTGGGAATGGTCTGATCATTAAGGCTAATGGAAGGTATTTTATCCAGCTTCCCATGAGACCAGAAGCTGCAGCTAAATTAGTCCATGCAGAAATTCCTGTATTAGTCTGGCTAACCTGTTTTGGATACCCATATTAACTTATTTTTCTGTGTGAGTCGAACTGATGGATGTATGTGACTTTCACAGTTCTTCATTAAGAAAGTTCTTCATTAAAGAAAGTCAGTCCCTTCTGCAGCATCAAGGCACCAACAGGAGTAAGTTAAGAGTGAATTAATGTCATAATTATCTAGATGAAATACTGCTGGATATGCTGGYTGGCAGAAATCCTTACTGCACGTCCTAGAAATCAGATTGCAGTCCAGCTTGCAAGCACATCTGTCAAGTGCCAAGAATGACCATGGATATTTACAGCACAGGTAATGATTTGCTTTCTATCAAATTCCGTGTTGCAGGACACTCCTATTCCACACCAAAGAAGATCCATTGAATGTTGCACAGGCCAAGATTACTGTAACAAACACCTTCACCCTACGCTGCCACCACTGAAGAACCGAGGTAAGTGGAACAAAATCCAGTCCTAATTGGATTTCTTCTTGCTGTTGGTCTTTGTACCTAAGGGAACAACAGAGCCCTGGTCAAATGGATGTGATTAGATCAATGAACAGCATGAAACAGTGCCACTTCATTCCTGCAGGTTGTGGGGAGTGGTGCCTTGACCTGTGGTTGCTGCTGTTTGCAGCTGTTTCTGCTGCACTCATGCAGCAAACATAAGATGTGTTAGTCTCRTGATCCTGTCCTAGCACAGACCTGCTGAGATACCAGAGATCATCTCAGAGATCATCTAGGCTGGTCATGACAGAGCATGGCTCTTGATGAGTATTTTTTTAGCCTGATAAGTGCTAAGCCTCTCCAGTGTTCATAACTGCATATACATCAAGGATCAGGTCTGCAGTGGTAAATCAGTCAGTTCAAGTTGACTCAAGTCTGCTGAGTTTTTCTTCTTTGAAAGACCTCATCATCCAGCACTAGGACTGTAACAGCTCACTAAAGTACAATTTTTATGTGAAAAATGTAGCTGAAAAAGGAATGTAGAGTAAGAACTCATACACCTTTTAAAAATGAAATTATTTGAAAGCAAATGGRTGTGTATTAACTTAGTAGATGCTGAGGTAAGGTTTTATTATTTTGGTTGGTTTGTTTAAACATCASTTACTGAAAGCTGGTAAAACTATTTTTGTCTGGATGTTCGGAATGCATTTTATAGAAGTGTATTCCTAAGTAAGTGTAAATTAATCCACAGTTAACTCTTGGCATTGGCAGGAATTGTGGTAGTCAGCATTGAGCCAGTTCAGAGTTGCAGAAGAGTTAATGATGGTGGCATTCTGTGTTTAAGATGCAGATCGGTGCGCAGATGCGCTCCTGGTTTCACAAGCAGCAGATCCCTGCACAGATGTGAGCTGGAGGAAAGCCTTCACTCATGAGAGCTGTTCCCTCCAGGCCTGTGAGATTGTGCACAGATGGGCTGCAGAGTCAGCCCTTGGGAGAGCAGTGTGTAAATACTGCACTGTTTACTAGCAAGGCATTAAGGCACTGGAACCTCATAAAATTCTGGCTTCCAGCAGAAGAGTTATGTACTACTGTGTTGGTTTATTTAATTTTTAAAAGTTCTTTGGACTGAGAGAGAAGATCCAAAAAGAAAAGTCAATATTTGTTCACACTTACTTAGTCTTTCATTAAATATCRGTTTGGAAAACACTGCCATGATTTCTTCTTGCTACTACTGAGTTTATTCTACATTAAAACTACTTAAAGATACTGAATCAGTGCCTAACRCTAGACATCCATCTTACTAAGATTTTAGTTATTTGGCAATACTGTCTGCTACTTAAACAGAAAGCAATAAAACAAGTTTTTGGTAGTGGCAGAAGTTGTTCGGATAGATGTTGAATTTGTTCTGTGTATATAAAGGGTAAATAAAGTGTCACTTGGGAACCATGGTGACAGACCCATTAAATAGCAGAGAGAATATTTTTTAAAATAAGAATTTCAGGCAGTTGGAGCAGGGTTCTAGCTGATGTTGCAAAGTTGACTATTTTAGCATGACACACAAAAGGTGATGTAGTCACTCAACATATTCTGAAGATTTTTGTTTTAAATAAGCTCTCACAGTACCAGTACCCTGACCGTGTTTTGTAGAAATGCATATCAGGAACTGCTTCAATAAATGTGGCTGAGCAGGGCTGAAGTCATCACCTTTATTAAATCCTTAAGTAAATRYGTAATTCTGGGTGCCAGGCCTGTTYTAATTTGTCGCTKCTGTAKCCTACTTGAAACCTCAGGAAAAAAAGCCATRGTTTGTACCTATTCTCCCTGCAAATAGGTACAAATACTGTGTACAAACACATGCCAGTGCCCAGTGCTACGGCTGTAATAGTTGTCTCTACTGGAAACATTCAGATTAGGCTGTGACTGGGTAATGTTAGAATCGTGTATCAAATTTAATATACACTGTAAGTGCAAAGAAAGAGAGGTGAATTTAAAAACAAGCTTCTTGGAATAACCTYAAMAMCAAGCTKCTTGGAATAACCTTCTGGCCCTCTGGCCTCTGGGAAAGATATGTGTGCTCCTCAGCATTTAAAAAACAAACAGAAATGTGGTTTCTGATGAACTCAGTGTCTGAGGTGGTTCCTCATGGGAAGCAAAGCCTAGGGAGAGCATGCAGCTGCAGGTCAGGGGTTGTTGAACTGAAGACTGACCTGTGCACCAAGGTAACAGCTACAGAGCAAGTGACTTGTGTTCTCTGAGTGCTTTTCCAGACCTGGCATGAGCTGCGAGGCAAGATTTATGCCACACCCTATCCTCCTTCTCTCCCCCCTGGAAGGACAGGAGGACCACATATGTGAAAGTGAGAGCTAGAAAAATTAACACTGCTCAAAGCAAGCCTTGTTAAGTAAGATGGAAGAAACAACACCTAAGCCTAAGTTTTGAGCTCATCTTGGTACAGAAATAGCAGGATAAAATATCCCAGAGAAACCATTACATCCTTGTGCCAGCTATACATCTGTCTTAATAAGGAAATGAAAATCATAATTGGGTCTGATATAACACCTCTGCTTTAWACAATAAAAGATATTCCTGGAAATCCCAGCAAAAGCACAGGCTGAGACCAGCCAGAAGAAGAAATATGTCTTTACTGATTTAGAGCCTATATAAGCAGAAGTGGTGGTGCCACCGTGTCTGGCTCCCTGCCTGTACAGCCAGTGATGAATGGGCAAGGGAATGATTGGAGGAATGATGGGGTTTGATGTGYGCACACAGCCTCCACGCCTCAGATTTCACTGCCCTTTTTACTYGGAGAACTGTAGCGTTCTGAACTGSAGGGACCTTGGGTGGGAGGAGAACCTCCTCTCCCTTTGATATGCTGACTTCTGAACCTGCTGGGTGGCATTTTCAATGCACTCCTCAGCGTGGTCCTGCAGATGAGTGAGGGAAATGAGCGGTGGAGGAGGGGGAAATGGCAGGAGAAGAACTGAGGGGCAATTCGGTGTTGCCGAGCTCCCCTCTGACACCACGGTTTCCCTACAGCGTGGAGCTGTTAGCRTGCTGTTTACTGGGCTTTGTGCTGTCAGCCTGCCAAGGTATGTGAAGAAGCTTCCCAAAGCCCAAAGTGCGTTTGTTTTGTGCTTCCCACCCCGGTAATCGCTCACTCTGCCTGCCTGGAGGCTGCTGCTTATTCTCCWACCCCTGCTGCCTGGCACCTCGCAGTTTCCAGGTAACACAACAGTGGAAAGCACAGGGCTGGGCTTCTCCAAGGACGGGGTACATCGTCACCTAAACTGGCACTGGCCAGAACCCACTGCAGAGCCCACAGAAAAGTCACCAGGCAGGCTCGCAGCCCATCTGCCCCATGCSTCCACCTGGCTGTGCAGGGAAGGGAGATCTGTCCTGCAGCTCCGTGGGCTGGAAGAGCAGGAGAAATCCAGCAGTGTCATCCTGGTTCAGTGCAGCAGAACAAGCAGGCATTGCTGGTGTAAGGATGGGGGCGCACACCTAATCTTGCCTTGTCCATACACCCGCAGGTTTATGAAATCCTCAAGTGAGCAAGCACATGAAATTCTGCCAGAATGCTTTAAAGATGYGTTTGAAAGGTGGCACAATAGCTCACTCACTATCAAGTATTGCCTCTCATCATAAATAGCCAAATAAATAAAAAGGCTCATGGGTCTTGTTGTCTCCTCCTGTGAGAGCCCRTTGTGTGCCTGTGCTGTGCCACTGTCAGCATGGGGGACGCCACCCACCAAAGGGGGTCAGGCCTGCATCTGGTCACATTCTGTGTCAGCTGCTCCCAGCAAGGAGGTCAGGACATATTCTTTATGTCATCCATGCTTTCCTTGCACTTGCTTCACATAATTGCACTTGGGTACCCAAAGAATTTTGTGGTGTTGGAGCCTGAAGGTCATYTGAGAGTGGCACAGCACTTCCAAAATGCCATCTGGCCTCTGGGAAAACCAAACCACGTTTGTTTATTTTCCTGAGTGGCAGAAACCATTAGAAACACTGAGCATAAGGTTTGGATCACTTAAACCATGAAAATGGTGGGAATTTGATTCAAGATCTCAGCAGAGGGATTTATCATCCCTCTCCAAATGTACACACACAGCGTGAACAAGCTCATGGGCAACATTGTGTGTGTGCAGAAATGCACAGATTTTCATGGCTTTCACATCTAGCAGATACAAGAATGAGCAAGATCTGAGTGGTTTCCCCTGTGTCTGACATCAGCTTTTGTTACTGCTGAGCACAAAAGCCTGGTTTCCATCATGCCATACTCTGTGAATGGGAACACCCTTGCTSTGGGCAGTTACCTGGGTTTCTCCCGGGTATAAAATGTTATACAAACAGTATAAAATTCTGTTTGTTCATCTGATGGGCTGTGACATCTGAAACACACATTTTAGAGGGAGRTGGTGGCTGACACAGGCTGCTGATGAAGCACAAACCAGAGCCCTCAGTCCTGCCGAGTGAGAGAGCTCTGGATTCCCTGGTGGGCTCTCAGTTTTGACTCACAGCCCTCTTGGAGTGGCAGGCCAGGGATAAATCTGCTGTGGCAAGCAGAAGGWTGGGCTGGAGTGTTTTCTGGTAGACACCATGTCAGAGTCTCCTTTCAAAGGCATCAGCCACGTCCTGGATGTTTGCATTGTCGGTGTAGGTAATGGCAGGTTAAAACATGACCAGTCTGATCAAAAGGGGCGTGGGTAGGTAATCTYTGTGGTGGAAAAGAGAAGGAAAGGCATTGTTTGGGAGTAAAAAAACTTAAGAGATGAACTAGATCTTTAAAATAAGAGTGTGACAGTAAACTAAGAGTCCCTTAGGAATCTCCTCATCTCATTACCCTTGTAAATCTGAAACATAATAGCGTCGTTGCAGGATGAGTCAGTAAGGATGGATTTCTTGCATTCTGCGACGTGTCAGGCGTTCGAGTGAAAGATGCAAGACAGCAGGGCGGGAAGAGCTTCACAAAACATGGCCCTCATTTGCATTATCCCATTATTGGGGAGGTGGTTTGTGTATGTACATAGCGAAATACTGTAATTTGGAGAATTTGGGTGGTGGGGAAGGTTGAAAAAGAATAGGGCTGGATGTCTTTGTTTTTCAGCAGAGAAACATGCATRAAGGTCAGACTGGCTTGCCTGAGCTGAGAATACAAATTTGGAGATTAATGTTACACTTTAAAGGGGAATATGAGTGTGCCMTACAAAGGGTGACTGAAACATTTTAATAGCTTTTATGTAACAGCATTTTCTACAAGTTACTTGAACGTTTTATTTTCCAAGTGTTTTCCAGAAAAGCTGCAGGAAGGGTAGTTTTGCCCACCAGCATGGGAAGAACTTGCTGGCACACAGGGCTGCTGTAGAGAAAATGGAGARGAAAATTCCTGCTCAGGTGTTTAAAATAGGATCTGAGAGAAGAACTCTTCTGTAATAGTGGAAACATACTTTCAGGACCTCTCATGGCCTGGCTTCTTGGAGATTTGAATGGTCTTGCTGTGTCTTCCCTTCTAGGATAAATGCAGTTTGAYTATTTTTTTCTTTTTTAAGTAACAGTAGGATGCTACTTAATGCAAGTGTTTAAAAAAGGCAGTAATTCTCACATGTCCTGGCTGATCATTCAGGGTAAGTCCCAGAGCTACCAGTCTTGATGGATTTTTCATTCAGAGCCAGAGAACTGCAAATCAAGGCAATGTTTTACCTGAGTGAGGGCTGAAAAAACAATTTTGGAGTTGTGTGTTCTGTCATGGTCAGTGAGGGTCAAAGAGGAAGCACACGAAATGCCTGGGGAATCCAGGGGCATCTTGCACAGGAATTCATTAGAAAAGAGCGGAAATGATCTTGTGCTCGGTGCACTTCTGACACCGACTTCGTACCATCTCCCTTTCTAAATTTTCCTCCTTTTTTGTTTTTTTAACCCCAGACTTTGCTGAAGGAAACATTCACCACAAGGCCCTGCTGATCTCAGTGACTGTTTGCAGCATCCTTCTGGTGCTTATCATCATATTCTGCTACTTCAGGTAAATAAGGAATATTGTGGCAGCTTGTTAATGTTCCTTCCAACATTTATCTTTTTATAGACTTCAGAATTAGAAAAGAAATAGAAATGAACCTTAAAGAAAAGAAATGAGAAGCTGTAATTTTATATTGTGAAAAAAAATTTGTATTTTATTCATGCTACTCGCAGGTATACCTGTGTGATATCTTTCATATAGGATCTTTCACTCAATATTCAAAAAAGCCATTCAGGTAGAAATGCAGATTATTCTTTACTGAGAGGGCCAAAGGACAGTTTTTGTATAGGGGAAATAAATCTGAGGCTTCTGAATTTGGTTATGTGATGGAGAACTTGTCAAAAAAAAAGAAGACAATAGAAATGTCAGTAGACATGTCTAGAATGTTATCATAAACTACATACATTATATTTTAATAATTTGCCATGTTTTTTACGTMGTCCAGTATTCCATGACCTTACCTCCTCTGGCTCCTAAAAATGCACTGCAGACAGTAAAATAGAAGTTATTTACTTGGTCGGTGTTTTAGACATATTTAAGTTTCTGAAAGGAAAACATTTGGTTGCTTTGCAAACTTACCCCAGACTGCGTGGCCTTTGAGTGTTACACTTAGAGTTTTGATGCTGAAAACGGTTACTAAAAATAAAATTAAATGTTTTGGCYGGCAAGTCCAGTGTATTCCTCAGGGAAGCCGAGAAAGCTGTTAGTSTACAAATGAAGGACGATGTGCATTATTCACTGCACGCGTGCTCAWTGTATTCCAAACTCATTTCATTTTCATGTAAAATGCCAGATACAAGCGCCAAGAGACRCGGCCCCACTACAGCATCGGGCTGGAGCAGGATGAGACCTACATTCCCCCTGGAGAGTCCCTGAAGGATTTGATCGAGCAGTCCCAGAGCTCAGGGAGCGGGTCCGGGCTCCCTCTCCTGGTAAGGAGGCAGCACTGTTTAATGCACGTTTCAAAGGCAAAAATGAGTAGAAGGAGGAGAGGCACAAAATTAACATTTGTATGTCCTCAGTTGTTGTTATAGGTTTTTGGTTTTTTTTTTTTTTTTTTTTTTAGCAGAAATGACGGGGATTTAAGGTGGAGAACAGCTACTTTTAGAAACAGGAGACTATATTTTTTTTTTTCTTTTCGCATGAACTAAGCCAAAAATGCTTAGGGTTATTTTCTTACCTCAGCTCATTTTTTATTTTCGATACTACCATGAGGTAAGTACAGGCTAAGAGAGCTCATGGAGGTACATCAGGATTTACTCCAGTGCACAGGGCAGCATATGCCCCACTGACCTTGTTTTCTTCCTTTGTATGTGCAATGCACAGTCAGGTTTCACACACTGACACATCATCTTTTTCTAAAGGGAACTGTAACTTGTCAAACTTTTGATTTGTAGGCTTCACTTTGCATTCAGAAGTCAAGGGGGATTTTTTTTCCTTGCAGTGTGGCAGTCTCAAAGGTTAAAGGCACAGAGATGGAGTTCATGATTGTTTCTGAGCAGATTCCATCCTGCTAAAAAGGCAAAACCTTCTGTGGCAAAATAGTTCTGTTCACCAGGGGGTTTTGTTTCCGGGGATCATGAATTATATAAAAGCTAGGTTACTTATTTAAAATGCCTGTGTGAAAATGAATKAGATTTCATTTTTATTTTTCAGCGTGGGTATGTCCCTCTTGTCTCCCAAACCTATTAGTTTGTAGTGATGCTGCTGCTGTAGGTGTTGTCCAGTTTCCAGTACTGGAAACTGTATTATCTGTCTGATTTTTGCCCACACATCTTTTTTTTACACAACCTAAAGAAGAAATTAATTGGGAAGTTTTATATTTCCTTAAAAATGAAGCAACAGTCTGAGTTTTCACTTGGCTTTAAGAAAGCTCTGTCATATCCCTTCCTAATGTCCTTCTAGCATCCATGGAAAGGGAAAGATTCTATGTACAGTTTAGAACTTTTCCTAATGAGTTTCCAGTTGATTTAATTGAGAGGGATTCTTCCTTTTTTGCATTGGGTTTCGTTTTATGTTTTGGTTTTTTTTTTCCACAACACCTGCCACATCAAGGTCTKWGTCTGCACTTGGTGCTCCACCTGTTACAATGACAGAAAAAAATGTAATAATTTAGAGAAAATATGGGGAACTTGGTTGTACTTCTCTGAGAGGATGTGTTTCTAGCAGCCTGTGGGGGCAGAAGGTGCCATGGGGCATCTCTAGAATTGCATGGCTCAATCCTTCATCCCAGGATCCCAAAAAAGATGTAGCAAAACTGGTTATGACTGCTTGTTCTTTGTGCCTTCCTCTGTCCCAGTGAGCAGTTTGAAGGAGGGATTTGTGGTCTCCCTGATGTCCTCAGGAGAAAAAGGGGACAGGAAAACCAACTTGTGCTGATTTCTGCTGTGGGGGCTGAGGTGATACCCCAGCTGGGTCATTGCTCAGCAGCTCTCAGAGCTGTTCCATGAGGCAGAGCCCATCCAGCCTTCTGTCAGTTCACCTCTCTCGAGCCTGGAGACTTTGCAGCCACTGCAGCAAGTGTTTTTCCTCAAGGAATTCTTCCCCCTCCCTTTGCTTACAAAACATGCACACCATTTTTTTTTCCCCTAGACTTAATCTCCTTCTGTAGTGATTTTGGGTGCRAGAGAAGAAAATGGATTTTGCACTTGGCAGTAGATGTTTGCTGCATTTCCCAGACAGCTACAGCCAATAATGAGTTCACCAGAAATGCACAGGGAATACCTCAGGGCCCATGCCTGAAACAAATGTACAAAAGTGCCCAGCAATAATGCTCCAGGATGTGTTGTGCAAGGTTCATTTTCAACTTTGTTTCTTAAGCAAACACTGAAATATCCAAAGTTATAATTTCAGGACAGTCAGATGCAAATTTAATGCAAAATGTCATTTTATGCTAACCGGTAATGTTTTTCTTCTGTGTAGAACATTTATTCTAATGGGCACAAATACTATACCCAAAACAAGTATTAACCAAGAATTTGTCAATATGATGATGTTCAACAAATGATCTTTCTCCTGACCTGTCTGTACCTCTGACAGAGGAGTTTCCTGCAGGTCAAATGCTGCAAGTGATCTGTCTGAAGAGTTTGCTGARCTACAGTTCAGTCTCTGCCTTCTCACACATTTTTTTTTCCTAATTTCCTTTCCAATGAACTTTGCTTGTCAAGGGACTGCATCCCAGCCATAGGTATGAATTCTCTGTTCAAAAGATTAAATTTACAAAAGGTTGGACTGTCTAAATTTTCATCTGCAGTAGCTGAACACATTTAGCTGAATGCCAGGAAGGTAGAAATAGTTGGTAATTGGATTCCACTCAGGGAGAGGGGAGGAAAGAAAAGGTCATGTAACCTTACCTGGCTGCTTATTGGAACTCAAGCAGCAAAATACACAGATTTTAAAAGAAATAAAATAAATGCMGCCCCACTCAGTGTAAATAATCCACAGGAACTCATCAGTCAGCATGCTTATGAAATCAGTTCATCCAACCATTTTGATTAACCTATTTGTTTTAGAAATCCTAATCAGTTTATGATTCAAGAAAGAGCTGAATTCCTTAAAATAAAATAAATTGTTCATAGGAAATCATTTGACCAGTTCTAGCAAGACAAAACCAGGTTAAGGYCTTTCACATAGTATTCTGCCGCCTGAAAACCCATAACAGAAATGTGTTTTTCATTTTCTTAATGTAATTTAATAAAGAACTTTTCATCATTAAGTATTGTAATTGCATGTACTTTATGATGCCATTACATTTATTTACACAAATTAAGTTATTTGATATAACCACATTATTGTTCAGGATGCATTTTTAAAATGGGCAAAATAGAAAGCAACAATGCTGAAATGACATTACAAAATCTTACAGCAAAATTCCAGTGTAATATAAMTATTGTTCAATCACTATATGAGAATATAAAAAATAATAAATCAACTTAAAAAATTTAGGCTAGTCTCTATTGTTGGCTTGCACTGCTGTTAATCAAAAATAATGGCACTGAAGCTRCCATCTTGAAAGTCTAATAATAATACAGTTCAGGGCTGGAAAGATGGAATCCTGTTTAAATGACAGAAGAAGAAAGCTGAAACATTTGAAATAGCTTTGCATAAATACCAYTGTACATTTTGCTTCTTGAAATTGTCTGATATCAAAACCAGTGGTTTACTACAAAATGAATGATGATCATCCTGACCTAGTAGGTTTTGAGTTTGTCTTTGGATGCACATTCATGTTGCAGTGGGGTTGTGGCATTACCAAACTGGTGGTTTCCACTGGACCTCCCAAGCTTTACAAAGGAAGCAAATGATTTAAAGAATCAAGWTTTGYRCATTTKTGTCAGCCAAGATTGCAAAAATAYTTTGGATTGCATGAAATGAATATGATTTYGTAGGGATTCAGACAGTGCAGTTAGATGCACTTGCTGCAATAAACTGGAGATTTGTATCTGGATGGTGGTAAAACCTAGCAAGACACCATGAATTTGAGCTTGTCCAGATGTTGCCAGTTGCTTGGGCCARATGAAAATCTCCTTGCATTGGCAGCAAAATTCTTTCAAAATCTTACCAGATCCTACCAAACAAAAAACCATTAGYTGTGGATTGAGCTGGCAGTGCTGTAGCACGAGAGGGTGACATTTTGATCTGCTGTGTCATTAGGGTGAGGCTGAGGCAGCCACAAACACTAGTGACTTGTGTTGCAGCAACTTTTTTATTTGTAAACCTTTAAAAATACAAGATTGCAGATGTGCTCCAGTCCGATGAGAATGTTAGTTTCCATTTCTCCAAGATATTTTGTGTCTGTAAAAGCTTGTTAAATGTAGACAGTCCATCTGCTATGTAGGGTCTGTCACTGTCCATTTTATGGGGGAAAATTGCTTTTTGTTGCATGTGTGTTTTAACTCTGTAAGGAGTGGGTGGAGGTTCCTAACACCAAAGATATATTTTGAAATAATTAGGCATGGCATTTTCAAGGAAGGTGGTACGACGTATGACCTTAAAAAAAAAAAAATTTTGGAGCTCTAAAAGTCTTTGACTCTTGTGAGTCCTAGCTTTGAGTCTTAGCAGTGTTGAGTATGTAACAAACATCTCTATTTTAATTAAAATGTGTTACATACACCTTTGGAATTTGGGCTGCATTGAGGTGTCCAGGAGCATTTTCTGTCAAAACTTCTCCAAAAACAACAAAAGAAATTCTACCAAGCACTGTGTCCCACGGAAAAATAAAAATTTCAAGGTTCAGAGCCAAATATTTCCTTTGCAAAGACCGATTTAACTTAATTTCCTAATTTTGAGCATTCATGGAAAGGTTTCTTCATGGTGGTGGGATCACCAGCGGCGCGTCCTGGAGGAAACAGGAAGCACCCGCAAATGAGGAGGGTGCTGAAATCTGTGTCACAACAAAAATCTGTGCTGAAATCTGTGTCACAACAGAAATCTGTGCTGAAATCTGTGTCACAACAAAAATCTGTGCTGAAATCTGTGTCACAAAACAGAAATCTGTGCTGAAATCTGTGTCGCAACAGCTGCGTGTCCCACTCTTCTCTGGGCTGTCCGTGTGGGGAGGAGACACAGAAGGAGGGAGGCGAATGCAGAGATTTCCCCTGAGCGAGGTGTAAGATCTGCCTTGGCATTTCRCAGGTTCAAAGGACCATCGCAAAGCAGATCCAGATGGTGAAGCAGATTGGGAAAGGTCGCTACGGAGAGGTCTGGATGGGAAAGTGGCGTGGAGAAAAGGTAGCGGTCAAAGTGTTTTTTACCACAGAGGAGGCCAGCTGGTTCAGAGAAACAGAAATCTACCAGACTGTCCTGATGAGACATGAAAATATTCTTGGTGAGTGAAACGAAGGAGAATTATTTGCTAGTAAGSAGGATTTTAAGATTAGCAGTTTTGTATTTGCTGCTATCTGATGTCCTTTCCGATGTGCTTTGTTTCCTGCTGTGCTCTGCAATTAGCCACCCAGCGCTTCTCAAAGGAAAGTTGTTTCAAGGATTATTGAAACATAAATAAAAGTTAAAAAATAATGGGGCTTGGGGGTTGTTGCTCCAAACATGACGTGTCTGTTTCAGCCACTGGTACTTCCATATCTGGGCTTTCTGAAAGCATATGAAAGGCTAGAGGTGAGGAATGGTTGCATGGAAGTAAAATGAAAGAAGTTAAATATGTTATTAAAATAAAACTACTGAAATGGATGACAGTTCAGAGATCTGAGCAGAAAAAAAAAACAAAAAACCAAACATTAAAAAAAAAAAAAAAAAAACCAAAAATGAAACAATGAGAAGTATTTGAAAATATCCTTTTTTTTTATTATTTTGAAGGATTCATTGCTGCAGATATTAAAGGTACAGGATCTTGGACCCAGCTGTATCTCATCACTGACTACCACGAGAACGGCTCACTTTATGATTACCTAAAATCCACTACCTTGGACACAAAAGCCATGCTGAAGCTGGCTTACTCCTCTGTGAGTGGCTTGTGCCACCTGCACACTGAGATCTTCAGCACTCAGGGCAAACCTGCCATTGCCCAYCGTGACCTAAAGAGTAAGAATATCCTGGTGAAAAAGAACGGCACCTGCTGTATAGCAGATTTGGGCTTGGCTGTGAAATTTATCAGGTGAGTCCAAATGAAAAGTTGATTATTCAGATGCAAATGCTGCTTTAGTTGTCSACTGAGTGTGAGCAAGCACCTGCAGTGGGTGTGCACCCCCTCTGGACTCTGCTCACCTGTGTGTGAGGGTACCTGTGTGGGGAGACACCGTGAAAACATCTCATGCAGGTGTGTAAATAGTCACTTTTTAATTGAGCACATCAGCTGCATTTGCACAAAGGTTCAGTTTTCATCACTCTGTCCAGCACAGCTACTGCCAGCACTTGGTGAAAAGSCTGAAGTCATGTCAGTGAGCTTGTCACTGAAGCATTCAGCTTGTCTGGTCCCATGAAAATTCACTTTCAACTTAAGAAAAATAACTAATAATTTACACCAGTTACTAACTAGGATTTATTGAAAAGGACCCCATTTGGGMTGCCTTTTGTTTCATTTCCTACAAATCAAATTGCCAAAGTACAGATTTGATTTTTGAAATGGCTTTTAAATTTGATTTTAAAAAATGGTCGTGTGTTTAAACAACTTAGAAAGAGCAGACAAGTAGAACGTACTCACTCCTGGGATTCGTAAGGAGACAGTGCTCTCTGACAGCTCCGTTCAAAAGGAGCTCGAGCTCTCAGCGGTGGTCSTGGTGGTGGAGGCGTGTGTTCCAAAGCCTCTGATTTTTCTGTACACAGAAATGTGTCCAGAATATATAGACTGAAGGTTTCCGTTTCAGAGGTCAGCTTTGAAACAGTGCGCTCCCTGGAGTATTAAAAAAAATTTAGGAGTTCTGTACAAATCTTGAACTGAAATTATTCAGTGGAAGGAAAGGCAGTTTTTGTGTGCTGCTTTTACCATTCACTTACCTACCAGGTTTCTTGGTGAGCCTTTTGCTTTGTGAGCCTGACCTTTCTTTAGGCGACAAGAAAGAAACATTTTTACTTTGAGGAACAGAGACCCAGAAAACAACAACTTGGAAATAGACTATTCAAAAGTTTTGGGGAAGAAATTCACCCTTTGCAGGTGTACTTTGCCTGGCAAGTACAGAGCAGCACACTGCTTAGCTGTGAATTAGGAAGAGCTAGGAATCACTAAGTGCTGTTACAAAAGAAGGTGAAATATGCATTTTTCACACTCCAGATGGAATTTATGTTATGCACTTGGCTTGTTTTCATACTGAATCCTTCCTTAGACAGCATTTCTCAGGCAGCAACAGGGAACAGAARATAGTTGGAAGGGGTGTGCTCTGCTGAAGTTAATGATTCCACCATAATTCTTTGTGTTTCCATTTCAYTTGAAATATTGCAAGGTCACTGGATTTATGTTACATTCTTGGAGGTGTATAGAAGTGCCACCAGCATATGTATGATTTAATGACTGTATAGGTGGCTGGATGTACCACAGCTTCAGTTTCTCTTAATAGGTGAAAAAAAAATTGCTGTACATGAAGAAAACTCCAGAAATATTCTGTATTCGATATATCCATCATATTTAAAATGCGTGCATTTTGAATTGAGGAAAGGAAAACAGACCTTTTTAAGCAAATGTATTTAAAGACATTGAAGCTAATCTAGCTGAATCTGAKTTGATAAGAAAAACAAGAATCCATTCACATAATTAATGGGAATTTTCTTCCCGTATGTTGTCTCTTCTGGTCAACATGTGAGGTGTGACACATTTCCTTAGATTGTTTTATGCATTTATCTCTCTGTGTCTACATATCTGGATGTGTAAAGGTTGGGAGAGATCAAACGTAATGCATGCAAAAAATAATAGTTAGATTCATCTTCCTTGCAGATCTGATTTGCTATGGCTGAGAGATACTGCCCCAGCTACTTAGTATCCCCATTAATTGCTGCAACTGAAGCATTAGGTGGTGGAGTGTGTTAAGAAAACAGCGTTTAATGAAGATTTGATTGTTATCACTAACATTAGAGCTCGGGCTAATGCTAATGAAATCCCACAAATGTTACAGCATCCCCGTTGAGTCTTATCTCCATTGTGGTTCTGCATTTGAATGCTTAACATCGCCTCGGGCRGGTCAGCCTTTTAAGGAGGGCTGCCTTCACACTAAGAGGCTTTTCTTGCAAGAATTATTCCATTAAGATTAAGCATTACTTTTGACCTCGTTTGAGAGTGGATGTGGTGTGAATTTACTGCTTCTTCCATCTAAATTGCTTTCTTTTCAAGCCACTTTACTGCCCTTTTTTTCTCCTTCTTTTTCTTGTAGTGATACAAATGAGGTAGACATCCCTCCAAATACCCGTGTAGGAACAAAACGTTATATGCCTCCCGAGGTGCTGGATGAAAGCTTGAACAGAAATCACTTTCAGTCCTACATCATGGCTGATATGTACAGTTTTGGACTCATCCTTTGGGAGGTAGCGAGGAGATGTGTCTCAGGAGGTAAAGAGCTGGGAGATCACTTTTAATTGTGTCAGTGAACCTCGAATCTGCTGTTACACCTTTTTTTGGGTAATTGTTTTTGCAGTAATAAGTGTGGGTAAACCATACAGGTAACTCTCTCAACAGCAGAGATATATGCTCTATTTTAATGGCTCATTTGAAGGCAGTGGATGCCTCCACTGAAGAAGTATGGGGCTCATTTGGGTACCTTTTCCAAAGGCATCATGTTTCTGCTGGACTGGGGGTATTCAGCTAATTTAGCAGAAAGAAAACAGTGATTTTAGAGTTAGAATTAAATGAAAGGAGAACAAGCAATTTGGGGTTTGCTGTACTATTATTTGAAATAAATAATCTGTTTACAAGACAAGGAGCAAAATACCGCAGGGAAGTGGCACTTATTACATCACTGTCATACCTGTAGTGTGCTTCATTTCCCTCTTTCTGCACGTAGAGCTCAKTGTAGTGCAGAAATGATGGGTGTTGTTACCTCTGTTTTGCCGCTGAGAAAGTTAAATGTAGAGAAATGACTTGGTAGCAGCTTTGTGCCAGTTTGGTGGCAGGAGTAGAGCATGTCTYTCCTGCATCTCTGCTCCCTCCACCATATTTCATGGTCTTTAAATCCTGCAGTATTGTGCTGAATGGTCTCCCTAGAGGAGCTGAATGTTGCTGATGAGCAGCAGGATCCCTGTGTTTAAAAGCCGATGAGGTGCATTGCAGTGTTGTGACATTAAATCTGTAATGTTTTTGTCATTGTTGCTGTGCACAAGGAGTGGTACTTGCCATGTTCTGAAAAGGCACAGAAATGCCCTTTAAAATATTCCAGGTCTGCTGATAAGAAGGAAAGTAACTCAAGGCTCATTCTCTGACAGTTTGTTCTGATACAGCCCCAATGTTAATAGGGCTTTCTGTGAGAACTTACGGGAGATTGTTGGAGTGGACAGCAGGGGTAGAAACTGTTTCACTTGGCAAGTAACCACACTTTAGGATTAAGATACCTGGACAGTCTTTACACGGCAGTGGTTACATCAGAACTTGACTGTGGAATAAACTTCCAGGAGAGAGGAATGCTTCTCAGGAAAAGTCCACTCAGCTGTTGAAC